AAAAAAAAAGAGCCACAGGATTGGAGAAACCCAAGGATTGTGAGGAAACACAAAGAAATAAAAGGTGAAAGTGAAAAAAGTAGATAGAGGGACCTAAAAGGGAGCATGGAGAGACCACCCAGTGATGACCAGCAGGTGCTGCAGGGGTTCAAGGAGCTCCTGGAAATGTGATAAACCCCCCCCCAGGCCAAGGGGCAGCTCCCACCTCCTTCTCCTCCGGTAAAACACACTGGAAAAAACTGGTACCATTTCTGGTGACCTCTGTGGACTTTGGATGGGGAATGGATACATGGAAAGGTGAAAAAACCCCACATAACCAAAAGTTCTGCAGCAGATGAGAAAAAGGGGCTGAAAACTGACAGTTTGGGTTTCCCACTTTTTTTGGTAGTTCCTAAAAAAGAAACGATTTGGGGAATGTAGAACATCTCTGACAGCAGCAGCTCTGACCTCCCAGTGATTTTGGTCTTGTCAAAACACCTTCTCACCAACTCTAGAGGAATTTTAGTCCTCCATGCGGTGGAATTAGGCCACTGTCAATAATCTCTTTTAAGATGCTCTCTATGCCACTGATCCAGGACCTTGATTTGGGGTGTCTGGAATCATCCACATGTCTTGGTAGCCTCAAGCTATTGCAGAAAAGAAAACATATTTTTGAGTGAGAAAGCAGAGATATTCTCATATTTATGGACTAAATAGACTCACAGAATCATTAAGGTTGGGAAAGCCCTCTGAGATCGAGTCCCTCAGCACTGCCAAGGCCACCACTGACCCCTGTCCCCAAGGGCCACATCTACACAGCTTTTAAATCCCTCCAGGGATGGGGACTCCACCCCTGCCCTGGGCAGCTGTGCCAGGTCCTAACCACCCCTTTCCATGAGGAAATTTTCCCAATATCCACCTTAAACCTCCCCTGGCACAACTTGAGGCTGTTTCCTCTTGCCCTGTCACTTGTTCCCTGGAAGAAGAGACTGATCCCACCTGGCTCCCCACTCCTGTCAGGGAGTTGCAGAGAGCAATAGAACAGGACTGGAATCATGATCTGATCCTGAATTAGATCCCCATCCCTGGAAGTGTCCAAAGCCAGGTCGGACGGGGCTTGGAGCAACCTGGTCCAGTGGAAGGTGTCCCTGCCCATGGCAGGGGGTTGGAACTGAGCTTTAGGGTCCCTTCCAACCCAAACCATTCTGTGATCCCATGATAACAGTTTGGATCTTGGCTGTAAGATCCTTTTTCTTTCAACCTACTGTTTTCCTCTGTACCTTATTTTCAGTGAAATAAAACTTCGACAGAAACATTTTAGAAGGATCAAACCACAGAGAGCGGTAAAAGCCCCACTTTGCACACAAATCTGGAGTTACCAGATTGCCTGGTGCTACACATTTTCAAGATGTGTCTTTCCTTGTAGTGACAGTCAGTGCATCTGCCCTGGAAGAGGGAGGAATGCCAGGCAGGATGAGAATGCCTGGCCCAGTGATTCCTGTGCCCATCTGCTTCCCTGTCACTTGTACCCACGTGTCACCACAGACAGAGATCAGGGGAGAGCCTGCACTGGCTCTTTTTTTTTTAGCATGGAAGCCTTTCTGGTTGAGTGCAATTTATATAATAAATAACAAAGAAATGATCCATCAGGGCTGTTTGTAGTTGATGCTTCCCAACATAAGGGAGAGGCTGAAGGTTCTCCAGGGCTCGGGTTTCACTCTCTGAGTGGTACTACAAGTCTCCAGCTCTTCCCTCTTCTTGCACGGGGACATTCACTGTCATTAAAAGGAGGTAAACACATGGGGAAACACCAAACAAACAAACAAACAAAACAACCAAAATATCTGGCTGAAATTCCCAAGATTTATCAAGCAACACAGTGCAATGATGCTTCTCCCTGTTCTCTCCTCCTCTTGCATTCCCAGTCTCTCCCTGTCAATCAAGTAACCAACACAGAACCATTCATCTGACACATAAAATTAGGGGCATTTTCCCTGTGTGCCTGATCTGCACTGAATTTCATCAGCCACGTTAGGACTCAGACCCTCAAACCAGCAAGGTCCTTCCACAGCCCTCACCTTTATTACCCTCAGCAGGTCAGTCCAGTAAAAAATGTTGCCATCTTTCCACTCAGCTCCTTTTATGGATCTTTTATGACCAAATTTACTGCTGTATCCCCAACAGTGACCCCCACAGTGCTCCCCATGACCTCCTGCATCTTCGCCTAATAATGTTGCTCCCTGCCTTTTGAATCCCAGTCTCTCTAGTCTGCTGCCTCCTTCTGGGAACTCTAGTAGGTATTAGGATAGGATTTTCCTGTTTTTTTTCCTCCATGTGATTATATTTAAACTGGTACAATCCTGGCTTGTAATCCCACAGGACCCTATAAGATGTTTTTTTCCCCACAAAACCAGCATCTCCCATCTTTTCAGAGTAAAATTTCCTTAAGCAATGGATCATAAAATCATGGAATGGTTTGGGTGGGAAGGACCTCAATGATCATTAATTCCAACCCCCTGCCATGGGCAGGGACACCTTCCACTAGCCCAGGTGCTCCAACCTGGCCTTGGACGCTTCCAGGGATCCAGGGGCAGCCACAGCTTCTCTGGGCAACCTGTGCCAGGGCCTCCTCACCCTCACAGCCAGGAATTCCTTCCCAATATCCCATCTAACTCTGCCCTCTGACAATGGGAATACATTCCTTCTCATCCTATCCCTCCATCCCTTGTCCAAAATCCCTCTCCAGCTCTCTTGGAGTCCCTTTAGGCACTGGAAGGGGCTCTGAGGTCTCCCTGGATCCTTCTCTTCTCCAGGCTGAAGAGATCACAGACTGCATTTTGGAGCATGGGATTTCATCCATGAATTCCCTTCAGGCTTCTTTTGAGGGAAAAGATCCGGGTGCTGGTGATTTGTTGCTGCTTATTTCCCCTCTTCCACCTTATTTACATTTAAGACAAGTCCCTCAATGAGTCTCTACAAAGAAAAGTTCAGCACCAAGGCCTCCCTCCTCTCTTGCAAGGTGAACACAGCTGCAAATATTTCATTCAGCTTCTGTGGAGTGGCCTCAGCTTTTATTGGTTTTATTGCTCTGAACACACCCTTTGTCAGGCTTCATGTTCCTGATGTGTTTGGAAAAAGAAGAAAGACTTCTTTTAAGAAGATTTCCCTGCCTTTTGCAAGCTCTTCCCACAGTTCTCTGCTGAGCTGCCTTATTGTGTTTTACACTTTGTCAGGCCCAGTTTATTATCTTTTCTATTTTCCACGTTTGGACACAATTTCAGCTTTCCCTTTCCAACAGCATCCCTCATCCCACTGTTCTGCTGTGACCTTTTCCTTTTGCTCTTTCTCGGGGCATTTTTAACAGCTGTCAAACATCTTCCCCGAGTCTCCATCACAGTGGCCTTAAACAGCTCCCTCAGTGCTTGCAAAGAATCCGTTTGCAAGTATCCAACTCTTTCAGCTGTACATTTTGTCCTCTTTTTAACAGTTTCCCCATTTTTATATAACTCCTTTATTGGAATTAAGTGCAAAAGTAGTGGCCTTTCCATCCCCTGTTGCTCCTGCAAAGATGTGGAGTGTAGGTACAGTGGAATCCATGCTGCACAGTGGCTTTCCCAGGGAATGACTTTGATCCAAGCCCAGTAGCTGCTGAGGTTTTTTTTTCCCCTGTAAACACATGAAAACCCCTGTAATCCAGTAATTTATCAGTACTGGCTCTGTAAGGTATAAATATTCAGCTAGTTCTCCTATATAAGGTGAAATCTTTCCCAAATCTGCTTCTTGGCATAGCCAGAATTTATAATATCATGGAATCATGGAATGGTTTGAGTTGAAATGGAGCTTTAAAGCCCATCTCATTCCAACCCCCCTGCCATGGGTAGGGACACTTTCCACTAGACCAAGTTGCTCCAGCTGCTGGTTTGGGGCACGTTTTTTAGCTGCAGACACATTTTGAAAGCTGGAGAGGCAGCAGAGCAAGAGGCACCACTTCAAAACCCCATTTTGCAGTTCATTCACTTCCATGTGGCTTTTCTTTTCACTCTTACAGTTCTGATTTTTTTTTCTTGATGAAAAACCTCAAAGAAACAGCAAAGGAGGTTTTTATATTTGCTCAGCATTTCTTTCTGCAATTTTTAACCAGTCTTTTAACCCTGTGTGTTTGTGAAGTGTCACCAACCCATTCTTTGTTTAGGGGAATTTTCCTTCTTTCCTATCCTGTTGTCTGGGATCAGGTGAATCTTGACCACAGCCTGTGGTCACCTCAGCTCCAGAGGTTTGTCTGGCTGCCCTTTGTGGGGTTCTCTGAGCCACCCCACTCCAGATCACTCCATGTCCCCTGCAGAACACCTGGAGTGAACGTGGAGTGGGTGGGGAAGGGACCACTGCAGAAATCCTCATCTGTTCTTCCATTATTGGTGACTCCCAATGGAACAATCTGATCACAGAATGTGCTGAGCTGTCACTTGGTCAGTACAAGGGTGTCCAGGACAACCACAGGACCCCAAAACCTGAGTGGCTGCACTGGGATGAGCTTGGGCAGCCCAGGAATGGGATTCTGGGGTGCAGTGGAAAGGTGGTGGCTGTTTATCTCCAATTTCTACCCCCAATGGGACTGAGAACCCCAGTGCAGAGGCTGAATGGGACTGAAGGGGCCTTGTGGGGGCTAAAAATTAACTGAGATTCAACCTGTGGAGGAGGGAGGCACAATATCAACCAGTCAGCCTCTGGCGGCCTTTTCCCCCACTGCTCTTTGAAGCAACAGGAAAAATCCCAAAGCCTTTGCTTTTCCCGTGTGTCACTGTGGTGTCAGGGCTCAGAAACGCCTGGGGCTGTCAGGGGTGTGTTGTAATTACGGTCCGAGTGAGTTTTGGCTGCCAAACTCCCCAGGCTCTCCCCTCCCAGGAGGCAAATGACCCACACAGCACACAGAAATCTTATCTTGCCCGTCTTTACTTCAAAGCAGTCCCGGTCGAGCCGGCGAGAGCAGCGCCCCGGGAGCTCCACCCCGAGGTGCTGCTCGATCATCTCCCCTTTTTGGGTGAGGGCACGCAGCAGTACATCTTCCCGCAGGAGGGGCTGAAGGTCCACTCGTCGGTTTTGCCACACACGTAGGAGCAGTACCCGTCACAAGAGCTCTTGGGCTGCCCCTGCCCTGCCGGGGGACAGAGAGAGAGAAATGGGTTATGAGGGGAAATGATGGGGGTGGAGGAGGGCAGAATCCCTAAATTTATTTCCTTGTTGGCTCCCAGGTGGCACTGAGGCACCAGGTACCTTTGGTTTAGGCTCACATAGAATAGGACACGTTCTCTCTCCCCACTGAGCTGGGGGACCACTGGGCGCTTAAAAACCACTCCATGCATGAATGGGAGAGATGGGATTTGCAGTGTGGCGCTCATCTCATCCCAAACCCAAAGATGGGTGGGATAAGTCATCAGCCAGAGCTGCCTGCAGGTACCTGATCCCCAGGGCCAAAGCTGAGTGAGATGAACCAACTCGCTCATCCCCTAGCACAGAGGCTGGAGAGGAGACAGCCACCTGTACCCACAGCCTCCAGGGTCAGCCCACTTTCTGCACCTCCACCAGTCCCTGTCTTACCTGGGGTGGCCAAGGAGAAGAGCAGGAGCACAGCAAAGAGCAGGCAGAGCACCCTCATGGCTGGAGGCCAGGGGGGATCTCGGGAGTGTGCCTGAGGTGGCCGGGATGGGGGACCTGGGAGGCCCCGGATTTTATAGAGCCACAACAAGTGGTGTGGCGAGAGGAGAAACCAGAGCAAACCCCTCTCCAGAGAGTTGCTGTTTGTTTGCTGGTGTATTCAGTGTCACCCCGACCTGCTGGTCCCACTCACAAAGGCACCTGGCAGCAGGTCTGTGATCCAGGGGGCAGGTGGGGACCATTCCCTGCTCCAGATCCGGCCACTGGGATGTGGCTGCCAGGACACATGGAGCCACCAGGAAGCAGAGCTTCTCCCCAGACGTGCAGGAATTCAGTCTGGGAGTCTTTCTGATAAGCTCTGGGCACTGCCTGATAAGCTCTGCAAGGCACAGACACAATGGACAATAGTGGGGTATCAGATCCATCAGAGTGCATCCAGCCCTGACTGGTGCACTGGCAGTGAAGCTCAGAGAATCATGGAATAGAATCCCAGCATGGTCTGGGATAGAAGGGACTGAAAATCCATCTTGTTCCAGGGATACCTTCTACTATCCCAGGCTGGTCAAAGCTCCATCCAACCTGGCCTTGGACACTTCCAGGGATCCAGGGGCAGTCACAGCTTCTCTGGGAAACCTGTGCCAGGGTCTCCTCACCTTCACAGACAAGAATTCCTTCCCAATATCCCATCTATCTCTGCCCTCCGTCATCTTGAGGCCATTCTTCCGTGTCCTGGATCCTTCTCTTCTCCAGGTGAACCCCCCCAGCTCTCCCAGCCTGGCTCCAGAGCAGAGGGGCTCCAGCTCTCGGAGCATCTCCGTGGCCTCCTCTGGACTCTCTCCAGCAGCTCCACGTCCTTGTGCTGTTGTTCCCCAGGGCTGGAGGCAGCTCTGCAGGTGGGGTCTCACCTAAGGGGGCAGAGGGGCTAAATCC